TGCTGCTGCTGCTGCTGCTGCTGCCTGTCATCAGTCTGCTGCGCCTTGCAGCTCCACTCAGCTAAGGCCGTGGCGTCTCACCTACAGAGCCCTTTGGACCCTTCGATTGCCTAGCCAACCGACGCCGTTGTTTCCTTTGCGGTCGTCCGTGCGCTCTTGACGAGCAGCTATATATGCTTTGCGGACCACAGCCGTGCCGAGCCAAAGAGTAGCGTTGCCCTACCCTCGCTTTGTTTGCACCCCGTAGCACCGCATCAAGCTACCTTTGCCTTCCACGGCTCTTTCTTTGACCAGCGAATCGTTCAACCGGTCTGCTCCTTCATCTGCACGTCTTGCCGCGTGGTGTCAACGCCAAACTCTCAAAGAATGGCCCCCTCTGCCGTTGCAGCTCCCTTTTCGGACGCAACCCCCTCCCTGCCGAGCACAGACTCGCTCAAGATGTCGACAAACAAGGAAGCCGCCGGACCGGCGCCGGCTCTCGGCACCGTTCCCGTCGTCGACCTCTATTCCGGCAGCGCCGACAGCCTGTCCACGGACTCCACAGACGACCAGCTGCGCCGCCAGATCGTGGCTGGGCTGCAGGCCAGCCAGCTCGTCATCCCGGGCAAGGCCGGCGACCCCGAAGACCTCAAATTCTCCTACCGGAAGTCGCTGCCCACGACCATCCTGTACGACGAGCAGGGCCTCATCCTCTACGACAAGCTCACCGCAGCTCCTGAATACTACCTGTACAATGCGGAGCTGCAGATCCTCAAGGATCATGGACCTGAGATCGCTCTGCGAATGTTTGGTCATCCCACCACATCATCCGGCACCATCAAACACACCACTCTGAAGAGCGGTCAAGAACCACCTCGGGATCAGCAGGATTCCGAGCGCGAAGACCCTCTGCCTCCGCAGCGCGACGCAAGTACGTCTGGCAAAGAGAAGTGGGGCGACAGCCAAGTCGGACGCTTCAACGGAGGCGTCAACGCCGAGGAAGGCCTCGACGGCGATCGAGCCGTAGGCGCCGGTTCTCTCGTCGAGCTCGGTGCTGGCTCTCTGAAGAAGACGATCCATCTCTTGCGTGCCCTCAAGCTCCTGCCTGCTCTCTCTGGTCGCGGACCGAGCGTCCACTACTACGCACTCGACCTCGACAAGGCCGAATTGGAGCGCACTCTGCGTGACCTCCGACAGCAAGAGGCTGTGCAGGGCGACGATGGGACCTGGACCATTCACGGAGGAAAGGTCGGTATCAACGGCTTGTGGGCCACCTACGATGCGGGTCTCGACTTTATCGGCCGAGGCGGCCTCAAGACGGCATCGACTGCGGCCGGCGCTCAGAAGGAGGGACAGCGGTGCCTGCTTTGGCTCGGTTCGAGCATCGGCAACTTTGATCGCAAGGCTGCAGCTGAGTTCCTCGCAAAGACGGCCCGCGACAGCATGCGTCCCGGTGACACGATGCTCATCTCGATCGATCGCCGCAACAAGCCGTCTGAGGTGGCGCTGGCCTACAACGATCCGGCTGGACTTACCCGCGACTTTATCCTCAATGGCCTGGATCATGCCAACCGAGCGCTCGGCGGCAGCGCTATCGATAGCAGCAAGTTTGAGTACTTTGACCGGTACAATGCACGCGAGGGACGCCACGAGTCGTACTATCGCGCAAAGGTGGCGCACGAGATTCGCGTGCCAGGCTTGGCCGACACGATCAAGATGGACCAAGGCGAGCTCATCCACATGGAGGCGAGCTACAAGTTCGGCGAACGAGAGACGCTCAATCTCTTCGATTATGCGGGTCTGAGAGTGGTTCAGCGCTGGAGCGACGAGACGGATCGCTACGATATCTGGCTGGTCGAGAAGCCTGCCTTCCACTTTTCCAATTCGGCGGCGTGCCCAGAGCTGCTGTCCTCCAAGACGGCTCCGCAGCAGCAACAGAGTCATCCGGACAGCACTGTCGCAGGAACGATCATCGACGATGGTTGGGGAGGCAGCAATCTAGACGAAATGGCGCAGAAGGCTCCTGCGGCTGG